GCTTAAATCACCTTTCTTTCCCATTCTGACATTCAGTTTGGAGTTCAGGAGATTGTCTTGACCAGGACCACACCCCTAAATGCATTGAAGCAACTCCCATGTGATTGGTTGATTAGAATATTGCATTAATGAGAAATTGAACAGGTGTTCCTAATAATCCTTTAGGTGAGTGTATATTCGTAGAAGTAATAATGTACTACCTAGGAAACTGTGGTTAATTCTGTATTACTTAAAAATACCCTGCATAAATTACATGTTACTTTGGCATCATCTACTAATTCTACAAAAATAAATAAAGTAGGTTAATATATACGCTTCTCTGTCATGATGGGGCTGTTGCGCATGGTATAAGAACAGAAGCACAGCGGAGAGCCGTCACGGCCGAGTCCAAAATCTTTAAACCTCTGGCTCCGATTAACAATATTTACAGTGTGGTCATGATTTGTGATGGTGTCATTTTTAAAAGTGAAATAATGTGTGCAAGTAACACAAATCATTTTCTGGTATGAAAAATGTACTGAAAGTTAAAAAGCGTAACAGATGAGAGAAAAGTTGAATATTTTGATTAACACATCATGAGGTGGAGTGTGGTTTTGTGGGTTAGGGCTCTGCCTGTGATCAGAATGTCGTTAGTTCAATTCCCATGGTCGGTAGAGTGATTTTGGCCCTTAACCGCAATTGCCCCAGGGACTGGCTAGCCTTGCTTTGTTAATCGGACATTGCTTTGGATAAAAGCTTTTACTAAATATATGTAACTTTATTTTCAATCAATCCTTTATTATTGAATCATTTTGATTTTCTACCCATCCTCTTGTCTCTTGTATCAGGTATAGGATTCAGGGATTTGAAAGTTGCCCGAAGAACCATGTGACATACGTGAGTTCAGACCTAGATTTTGGTTTCCTTAAAATGTACCCCGTTTTCTGCCTTAAATATTCCATTCCTGGAAAATGTCACTTGAATTCAACAAGTCTGCTGATGAAGGTACAGACTGGCCATGGAAAATCCTGTTGGGTTGTCATGACAACCTACCTGGATACAACCACTGGCCCCACACACATCCAGCATGCATACACACCATTAAAGAGAACATATACACAGAACTATAAAGATTTTAGACTATTTTGCCAATAAAAACCAAATCAAGTTACATATTTTAGGTGGAAACATTAGAAGAACCATTCTTCAGCCCTTCAGTTCCATTTTACACTAGCTTCCCAAATTACTGTAATACAGCAACACTTTCAAATATTTCAACAAAAATGAAAAATAACACCAATGTTCCGCAAAACCGGTATCTTGGTGGTTAGCGCTGTTGCCTCATACCTCAAGGGGTTGTGGGTTCGAATCCTGCCACCTCACCTCTCTCTAGTTTGACGTATGTTCTTCCCACAAGCCTAAGGCATGTGTTTAGGGTAAGTGGTGTCTCTACACTGCCCATGTGGTGTGCATGTACCCTGCAAAGAGTGGCAACCTGTCTAGGGTGCATGGGATAAAGCAGGTTCCAGGTAGACCAGGTTACATTCCACAGAATCATCACTGCTCATATACGATACACTGATCAATAACAGATGCATGAAAAGCACATTTAAAATCGATTTATGTTTAAGGTTTGTATTTAAAAACAACAAATCAATGATGGTGATTTATTTACTGTTTGCAGGAGTATGAGTATGGGTACATTGGAACGCTTCTTTTCACATATCCCATCTTGACACATGGTTGAGAGCAAAGCCTGGGGTCCGTGCATTTATCCAGCACCCTAAACTGTCAGAAAAGTACCAATTTGTACCTTTGAGGGTACAATTACTGAACACTGGGACTGTACCCTCAAGGGCCTGCCAACTGTACCCTAGCTATAAGTAAATATTCATTTTAAGGTACATTTTTTTCACCACTGGGGGTACGTTATTGTTGTTTGTACCACGGGGAGAACACTTGCACCAGAGCGGTACCCTTTTTTCTGACCGTGCAGGGGGCTGAAGTCCTTGCTCAAAGCACCAACAGAGATGTGACAATTCTGCTGAGGCTTGAACCAGCAACATTCTGGTCATAGGCCAAACCCATTGAGCCACACACTGCCCCTAATTCCCATGAAACAACATGTTTATGTACCATACACAATCTGGATCAATAGGTTTGAGAGATCTGGGTACAATTGTAGATGTATAAAAGGATGTCAGAATTCTTGACAGAAATGGTCAGATTTTGTTAATTAGACTTGGACACTGAGTAATATTTTTCCCATTTTAAAAAGAATTTATTTTATTATATGCCAAAAATCTTTCGGAAGATTGTTATTGTGGTTAATTTAATGTCTATATGAACCAGTAACCTAATGGTTCCAAGCCCTTTACCCCTTATGCTATAGTTACTTGGCCAGAATGAAAATGATGATACAATGATGTGTAAACCTAAGCAAAACAACGAGGAAAAGGGTGAGAAAAATTAGATAAAGGATTTGGACATATTTTGGCGACCCTGTTTAGTTCTTTATATATTTCAGGACTGAGGAATGTTGATCTGATAAGCGCTTAAGTACAAGCTGACCTGGCAATCCACTGTACAAACCTTTTTTTCAAACAATATCAATGTTTTTTTCTGACTCATATTAGATTGGTATGTCCCAGGGGGTAGTCAGTTGACTTTAAACCAGGACTATATGCAGGAGTTTATATTTTCTTTCCTCCCACTGTTCTCTGCCTTTTTTCCACACTCATTTTTTAATGTTGTTGTGGGAACACTGGCGTGCGTCAAAGACAGAACCACGTGACACAGCGATCGCCAAGGGACCGAAGTCGATGTTTCAGGGTGCACTTGGGCGTGGGTTACTAAAATAAATAAACACACAAAAAAAATCTCCGCATACCATATAATATTGCCATTGCAAAATGATTAAGAGTACTGACACAAGAGGACCCGGTCCAGGTACAGTGATACACATGCTACAATACAAGCCGTTTACCACAGAAAGGAACGGGTAAGATAAATTTTAGCAAACAAAATGCCTGACCACCATTAAAATGATATAATATTAGATTATGCTACAACTGCTCATATGACGGTGGTGTTGCCCTTAATCTCCAGTTTGTATTGTTGTTTCTGAATCATTAATGTTGAGTGCCTTGGGGTGCTCTGCCTCGCACAGAAGTGAGCTGGATTCACGCGACATCTTCACATGTGACAGTGACAGTCAGCACATCAGCCAGGCTCATATGGCGGATGTGAGGCTCAATGGGACCGCGCCATGTAGGCTACATGGACTCTGCGCCTTTGCACCAAGTACAATAGCTCTTAAAAGCCCTACACAACAGAGACTCCCCTCAGGTACAATCGGCAGGAATCTCTTTCAACATGTGTTTAATATGAATCACTTCTTTTGAAATGGTTTAGATTTTGACCTGTGACTTCCTGCTCATTTCAGTTTTATTTTGACTGTTAGATTTCGGCTTTGTAAGCTTCGCTGTGGGGGCGGGGATTATATTGTTATTTTTGGAGCAGAGTGTGAAGGATTCCGTCTTAAATTTAATTTTAGAAATTCCTCTCTCCATAGACAAAGTTAGTTAAAGCGTTCCACGATTTTTCATCTGTTTTGTAAAAAAAAAGAAAAGAAAGGAAAAGAAAATGATTGTTAGTGCATATGACGTATTTCACTTGTAATTTGTATTGATGGTTCTTGATTACAGGTTCAAGTAAGACAGTTAAGTCAAGTTCTAATGGCTACATATAATTAGGAAGAATGATGTCTGCTATGCAACATTCAGGCTAAGTTCTACAGTTCGGGAGACGGGAAAACACATGTATCCCTCTGGAATGTAGTGATGGTGATGTTTTCATTTTTTCCTGCTTTGATCCCCATAGGGTTTCTTGGATTACATTAATTTGTAAAGCAGAATTAATAGTAACAATAAAAAATCAGTTTATGATCCGAAATATAAAAGCAGAAAATTGTAACTTCATACACTTATAACAAAGGCATTTTCCATGGTCCCATTCCAAGTCTGATTTGAACAAGGTAAAACCGAAGAGTTCATTAAGTAGCAACCGCTCAGTTTTGTGTTTTCTATTTGCTAATTCAACATGACATTTGCAGAACATATATAACGAAGCTACAACCTACATGATAGTACGCTACATATAAAGCATACCCCTGAAACCTGATAAAAAATGTAGGCTACTAAAACAAAAATATAACATCATAGACTAAAGTATGTCACAGACGACGGGATACATATATTGAAAGACCCCTTGAGTCCTTTACGTCTGTGTTTCCCAGTTTCCCATCGTAAAGGAGCTGTGCAAGTTCTAGTGAACCGTAATGAGATCAGATGCCTGAATTTACTCTTGACGCACTGCAATGATATTGTTGTAAGACTTTCAGCCCAAAGAAAGGGGTGACGCGGAATTTGCAGCATAAGCATTACGTCCTCTGCCGGGGTACTTGCACACAGCGATAACCCGTCTGTCAATGCCCGTAATGAAGCGTCACTTTGGGGGCGAACGGCAACGTGATCCCGCTGACATAACGAGGCAGTGTCAGTGCACATAACGGCTTTCCCATTATACACGGGATTTTAATAATTTAGTAGAGCCAGTACTGAACACCCACCCAGTAACACCAGAAACTAAAAAAAAAAACTGGTTTGGTTCAAAATACTGTTTCATGATTTATCATTATTAAAAAGAATTTTAAAAAATCTTGCCCATCAGAGTGATAAAATGCCTTACAAGGTGTGATTATTTGTTAACGACTAACTAATTGATCTTTCTCACTTACTAGCCAAATCGCTCTTTAATCCGATTACTTGTCCGCTTGCTTTCGCACATGCATTTAACACGTCCTTTGTATAGCGCGTTTCTATAGGCGTCCTTGCTTAAATACACAATGTACACTAGTCCTTATTGTACCGACAACCATCTCAACAATCGGAAGTATAGTTTCCATAGCAGTTCGCTTTTCCACAGTCCATAATAGCACATTTTCCATGTTTGTCCAGCACTTTGGCTCCAGGCATGTACTGAATTGAATAAATTGACCTTCTCTTTATGAACACAGACATAAGTTTTCTCCTCCGATGAACAGTCGATTCGTTACTAGCGAATGCCAGGCACAATACTGACCTTGTATCACAATACAGACCAACTACTTCAACATTACCAGCGGATACATTTGTTTAAACTACGCGTGCATGTTCCCACTGCTTGCCGTATGAAAAAGCGTGTACCTTTCTGCCGAAGATTTCTTCGATTTCCAGAAAATATATTTGGATTCCTTTCCTGTTTGGTTTCTTTCTTTTTGTCTTCTGGAAGAGGATCCTGTTAAAGCCCACAGCTGGCGTTCTCAGCCTTTACATTGCAAACAAGCAAACTGGAAACGCTCTCCTCGACAGTTAGGCTCCGGGTTGCTGTTATCTCATATAGGGAAAGAACAGGGATTCCCGATAAGGGCGAGAATCGCAACCGGACTTTGCATCATTGTAGAGCATCATTTATTAAATCAGGCCGGGAATCCCGGTTTCTCTTGTGCATGCTGGGGAAAAAAAGACACAAGTGAGCAAGATTCGTGGTTATACCATATAACCAGCGTCAGGGAAGCGAATTTGTTAATGGCGTTAATGTAGACCAAGCATGCCCACACGCTGGAAATTGCAATCCAGCGCACCACAGCGGAAATCACGCTACACTTAACATGGGGAGGGAATGAATGGGAATGTCTCAGACAGAGATGGAAATCGCGATTCTTTTAAGATCGTTCTACTAAAAGAATCAGAATCGCTAACTGATTATAGTTCACTTCCGACACGTATACCTAGAATATTTTTCGCTTTTATGCTCTTAAATTCTGTGTATATCTGTACATAATAAAAAATGTATATTCGTGATAACATATTTTGCATGCCATTGTGAATTACGATTAATTTCAAATAATATGAGCCATATTGACTCTTTCAGATATCCTTACACTACTACACCAGTAGATGGCGGGAGAGAGGCCACTTCGAGGATCACGTTCGTGAACTGAGCGAATCAGTGCAGTGACCGGGATGTTTTTCTGCACTTGAAAGACTCGTTTAAAAAGACCGAAAGGGTAATAATAATAATAATAATAATAATAATAATAATAATAATAATACAATGTTCATGGCTATGTCTTTTACAATACGAATTGGGCGCAATATTATGAAATTATCTTATCAAAACCATGTCCTGCTGCTCTGTTCTCTGTCGTAAGTTATTTAAAATTGAATGAAATGAATACATATTAAACTGGATTGTTAAATGTTTACCACTAGTGCTATGATGAATAACAGAACACCGGCATTGGGGACAATCGACTAAATATGGAACATAGCGAAGTGCGCATTCCGTAAATCTGATTCATCCGTTCATCTGTTTCAGATTAAACATCTATTAAAGATTAAAGAAGTGGTACGTGTGATATCAAGGATGTGGGGTGGTTATCTGGAGAATTCTGGGGTACGAATTGAACATGTGCATTAAAGACCCCCCCCCCCCACACACACACACACACACACACACCCACTAACACATCAACCACAGAAATGACTGGGCGGACACGCTGTTACAGAGCAATCGGTGGGTGTCGACTTCGGCAAAAATAAGAAAAAAACGTCAGACTGAGCCTCATGTCGTGACGTAACGTGAAATCACCAAAAGTTATAATGAGATTCGCCTTGCTCTGACAGAGGCTTGCCCAGAACACGCCCACATCAAAGAAAATACAGAGATTTATAAACCCAAGAGAGATGGAACACGTTAAACAACGTTAGGACCAAAACTGTTCACGATTTAGGTCATGTGTTATCCCCAGAGTACCATTCAAATATTTAACCATTTTTGGTGTGATTTCACACTAGATTTCATGCTCTTTACAAATCAGAAATGTGGGCCTATCATTTAGTTTTCATGTTCATTTACATAATAAATGCACTTTATATAAGCTTTAACAAGAAGTGCATCCAGTTCTTAAAATCATCTTAATGTCACAGTTTAAATCTTGAATGAAACCAGAAGGCCTTTCAATATTGTTATTTGACTTAAGTATTTCACTAATCATAAAACAAACCGTAAATTTGTCTGTTCAGGGACTCCACATTGCCTGACCTTTACAAGTCATTACCCTTTTTGAAAGATTTGTAAAGCATTCACTTCAGTACTGTATTACTATTACATATAACAAAGTGCTTGGTTGTTGGATTTGTGATGTGTGAAACTGTAACTGAAAACTGTCCTTCAGCTGGGGTATGTGGCTGATGAGTGCACTGTGAAGCAGAATCATGTTGAAAATGCAGCTCCTTAATCTCCTCGTCTTTTGTTCACGATAATACTAAATTCTGATAAGCCATCACTTCATCATTCGCATTTCAACGTATCAGCACATACACAGCTGCAGAAAAAATTACAAGAACACTCTATGTTTTAAACAAATCTGTATTTTTAAATCCTGGATTAATCCTGGATTAATCCTGGTTTTGCTGGCAGAAGGCTATGCTGAACAGCAGCTTGCTTCCAGGTTCAAAATTTCTAAGACAGCAGCACATAAGAATAAGGTGAACCAGGAGACACTGGGAACGACCAAAAACCAGCCAGGTAAAGGGCAGAAGCGACTTGCTCGTAACAGAGATAACCGTTAACTTATCTGACAGTTTGCCATGAATCATAGGATGACATGAAGTGACCTTCAAACGGAATGGGAAACATTAAGTGCAGCTGTGAAGTGCTCTGCTGGGGCTGATAACTGCGATAATTTTTGTCACTATAATTGTGATATGAAATTTTCATATCATTTCATCTCTATCGCTGGCAAAATAGGATGCATTCTGCAATACTCGGGGGGACATCACAAAGGAGCGAGAGCAGCAAGCCTTCTACTGAATGGAGATAAGATATCCTTGAATTTGAAGTCGATATGTAGTCTTCTAGCAGGTTCACTGTCAACACTCAGGGGGTTCAGGGCCGCATTACCGCGGAGACACCACATTATTATAAACTGTATCTTACTCCTAATGCCAGGAACTTCAATCCCAAGTAACTTATTTAGCTGACAACACAACAGTTTGCTGATTTGCATAGCTGAGGGTTTTACTGAAGAAATCGGTCAGGAAAACCACTCAGCGTATCAAATCCGCTGGGCTGCGCGGCAAAACGGATGCAGGGTTCAGGGTTTGTCACCTTTAACTAAAAAACGCTTCTCACAGAAACTAGCACATTTGAATTATTAAATATTTGTGGTTTGTCTTGTTATAGCTAGAGAGATCATTAACAGTAACTGGGGAATTATATGAATGCAAAATACCTAATTAAAACCATTATCAATATTATCAATTATCAAATAAATCTTTTGAGGTTAAATCTTGTGGGTTTTTTTTTTTTTTTGAGATAATAATATAATCATCTAAGACGTAGAATGTTATTTATACTTTAAAAATACTATCACAGATTTGTGTAGAAGCAAGGTGATCCCCCTGATTCATGAATGAGGCAGGTGTGTGTTAACTAGAACATTTCTTTTAAAAACTACACGTACTCTTACATTCCTGGACAGATCTATGGTTTTGACACAGTTACATTATTGTTGATAGGCTGGTCATGTCAGTATGGGTTTGCATGGAGGTGAGCCCTTCTAGCTGCTATCCAGGTATCCAAATAGCTTAATTTTTAGCTAGGCAGTTTGTTAAAGGATACATTATGTTAACTGAGGACTCATAAGGTCCAAAACTGTTGAAAAATCCCCTGAAACGTTCTCACAGTCTGCCACATCCAGACCATGTCACAAATCCAATGAATGCCACCACAGATTCTCCTGTCGTGAACAGAAATGTTTGTTCAGTTTGACATGTAATATTTGAACGCAAATTAATTAGCGACATCCTGGTTTTGTGGTTCAAAAGGCAAGGTGTGGATCTCAACTGGGTTTTAAGATCAATCAAACACTGATGATGTACAAAGTTAATAGCTAGAAAAGTCTTTTAATTCATTAACTGTTCGATTTATATCATAAACACATAAACACAGTATGCTAGATCATTTCCAAGCAAACAGAGCATAGGAAATGTAAACTGCTCCAAGAGCCACATCACACACTTACTGTATATCAGAGGTGGAGACTTCAGGTCCAGAGAGTACAAATCCAGACCAAGATTTTGTTTCAACCAACCAGTTGAGTACTCTGTGACTGTGACTCTTTATGCTCAACTGGTTGGTTGAAACAAAATCTTGGTCTGGATTTGCTATATATAAACTGTGCACATGACATCCGAGGTGAGGTGTTTGACTGGTAATAATTTTAATATTTCATTTAGCAGGTTTGGAGTTTTTCAGAGTCGTTACTTTTGGCTTCCTGTTCAGATAAATAGTTCACACGTCGTTGAGCTGCTCAGCTGAGGTGGGGGCTTGTCAAAAGATTTAGCTTGAGCACTATCACATTTATGTGGAAAGATAACTGGTTCCTCTGAAGAGTAAGAGTATGACTGACAGCTCTTTAACTATGTGTAAATGGCAAACACATTGTTCAGATGAATTTTAGCCATCAAAATATCATTTCCCAGGAAAATGCATTTCCAGTGTTCCCATAGTCTTTTAGATCTACTGCCTCAGAGAGAGAGAGAATTTTATAGAATAGAATAGTGATACTTTATTGATCCCTATGGGGAAATTATGTTTTCATATATCTCATCTTGTGCACACATCTCCATGACACACACATACACACGTAAGAGCAGGCTTTGGGGTCACAGCACAGGGTCAACCAGTGTGCAGCCCCCTGTGGAGCAATTAGGGGTCAAGGAACTTGCTTAGCAGCCCAAGAGAAGCATCAGTCCTTTGGCCATGGGATTTGAACTGGCAACCTTCTGGTCCCAGGCAAAAGAAGGTGAAGTTTTCAATCTGTAATTTTCACACCTCAGTTATATGTCAAAGGCTACAATATTTCCAGCACTTGATAAACAGCGCTGACTTCGGTTCACTTTAAAATGTCTGACTGGGGATTTTTTGGTAGTTGAATGTATATAAGAGGTTTATTGGTCAAGAGTCAGAATATTTCATGTAATTTCATTAACATTCAGCTCAGTCTTTGCAGAGGTTAAGGTTTACTCCAGACAGCCCTGGTAAATCATGCAGTACAACGATGAGCTGTTCAGGGGAACGGCTGACTCACCCCGCTTTGGACTTCCTGAGAAAGACACCAGGTCAGATAAGCCTCATTTAGCATTTACACTCAGAGGATGGATGCACAGGTAAAACTTTATGCTGTATGGAAGCTTGCAAATAAAAAATAAAAAAAATCTCAGCAAACTTGTGGCCATAAACATTTTCCCATAGTTTCCTCCACGGGCTTAGAAAGACGCCTGAGGACAGTTAAATTCGTGACTTGAACCATATTCCACACCTCGGAAAATGAATCCTGCATTTAAACCTTTCAGAATGTGGGCCTCATTATTTCAGTCTTCCTGCTATCTGCTTGGATTTCGTAATCAGCAGATCAGCTTGTATTGGCAGTGCTAATGTTAGTTTCAATCCCTCATCTAGAACGATCCACAGCAGCCGATGTGGATGACTCCTGTTTTCTGGTATGTTCTGCAGATGAGCAGAGTGGGACTCTGTGCTGGAGAGTGGCCTCTTGTCATAAATCCATCTCCTGGAAGGCCTCCAACCCCCCCCCACCACCATCTCAGTGGAGTTACGACGACAGATTATGGGAGCCTTGGGGAGCCTTCGCTCAACTAATCAGTCATTTCTGCCCCCCCCCCCTTGAGAGCACTGGGGTGGGGGAGTAGTTCATCCATGGGATGATTTTGCCCTGGAAACGGCAGCTTAGCAAAGAGATGCTCAGTGAATGTCCCCAGTGCCACAACATAGACAGACCAGTAGACTGAGTGGAAGAGTCACATGGACAGTATTTATTTATGGTGCACGACAAACCATGATTTCTCTTTGTTTGTACATACAGAGATTAAATCTATAAATAAAACAAATAAATCGTTTAAGGTTAAACAACAGTGTTTTTAAACTTATCCAGATGCTTTGGTATGCAGCACTTAAAACAAACTTTGTGTTACTTCAAGTAGAACTGAAAGTTATCATCATTCTATGAGGTTTTACTGCGACGCTGCGGAGGGGTGTCTGACGTGAGCAGCTCCTCCGTCACAGCTCATTTTTGCTGCTCCTTCTCGGAGAGCCGCTTAGCTTTGTTCTGTAGGTAGCGTGCTTCCCCTTCTTCGGAGCGCTTCTGTTCCTCCTCATTCTCAAGCTGTTAAAAAGGGGAGAAGAAAATGAAAAAATGGTGATGGGGGGGGTCACATCCCAGCAGTCCCATAACCAGAAGTTATTTATTTATTTATTTATTTTGGGGGGGGGGGTGTCCTGATTGGTTCTGCCAATCATGGGGCATAAGCAAAATTTGACGTCATAACTGTTTGCTTGGGAGTAAACAAATTTCGGGGGGTTGTCATGAAGACATCAAGCATTCCATCTTTTGTTTACGTAAAGATATGATTATGAGCGCTATGCAGCAATCATGTAATGGCAAAACCCAAGAGGCATAATAACAACACCGACATTTTTAAACGGCACAAATATGGCACAAAAGATACCAGTTTGGACACTAATGAAATATGCCAACTCCAGGGTGGTGATGTCACCATGTAAACAAACATTTACATCTCAGCACAAACGGCACAAACGAAAATTTCAATGTTTATAAATGCAGTGCAAGTGAAGTACGAACGAACGTTTGGTTCAAATCCAACGTAAATGTGGGGGCCAACTTCACAGTGGTGACGTCAGCATTTATATCTCAGAAACGAAAGCAACACAAACGAAAAATTCATAAACTGGTACAAACGATTGAAACAGGTTTGGTTAAAATCTGTAACACATGGGGGGGCAACTTCACACAGGTGTTAAATTTCACCATCAGCTCACTTGATTAATTAACTTAATAATATAATTAACTTGATGAGGTATTTATTAGTCAAACATGCAATGCTAGTGGTTGTATCAACAGATACATGAGTATATTGGATGGTTACTGGAAATACTGGGGTGAAGTTAGGAGATGTTTTTAAATGGGTAAACTGACACCATTTGACGGGCATAAAATAATTGTTTAACCAAAACAAGATCATTTGAACATAATTTTGTATGCCTACTTAAGACTTTTGCGTAGTACTGTATCAATTGCCAAATCACATCAGATTAGTTTCTTTAAGATATCTAGCCATGCCTCAAAACGAATCACCCTGCTCTGCTCCTTCTCTGACCAGGCTGTTCGCTTCGCTTTCCTCCTGATGTCCTCACACATCACAGTACAAGCACAAGAAAAAAGAAAAAAAAAAAAACACAGGACACAAGCACTGCTGTGTCTGCAGGCAGCCCCATCCGGCCTCCTGCATCTGCTAGGCCAGCCACCAATCTGGGGGAGGGCACCTACAAAGGGAATCCGCAGAGAAGACTGGCTCAACCTCAGCGGAAGCCTTGTGATCATGATGGGGGGGCTGGCCAACGATTTCTCTCAGATCAGTAGCGTGACGAAGGGCACCTGGGGGATGGGAGGGTAAAAATCGGACTCGTGGATTTTCTAGGGATTTAGAAATCAGAGAGGAGGACATTTCATCTCTCTGAAAGGCAAGAAGACACGATTTAGGCAGATAGACAGCAGGCCAGGCATGACTGGCCATAGCCGAGGGGGATCTTGTGATAGTTTGGGATGGCAATTCTGGTAGTCTTCCAAGCCACACTGGGGATCAGCGTTCATTACCCTGTCAGGCTGACCCTGGACCTTCCCCTTCATCTGTTTACATCTGTTCACATAACTTGCAGTACTGTAGAAATGTATTAATAGCCTGATCTGCTTCTGAAATTCCCAGTGCTTGTTTAGGTGCTGTATAACGGAGGAGCCGATGGCAGCGAACGTGAGCATAGCTGTTTAAAGACTACAGGGCTCTGGGGAGGTGCCCTGACTCATGTGGGTGACGCTGTGGTGCCGCAGCACCAGCCTGGGAGTGACCAAATAGCACCGCCCACAGAATATCTCATCGGAACCAGGACCGTCACGCTGCTGAATTATCGACCGTACCTCTGGTGCCCCGAATATTTAATGAGCAGAAGTAGAGAACACAGCCATCGCACTGGTCCTCCTCAATCAGCTGGACAAAGGTGATTCAGCAGTAAGACACAGGCAAAGACACAAAGGTGATTCAGCAATAAGACACAGGCAAAGACACAAAGGTGATTCAGCAATAAGACACAGGCAAAGACACAAAGGTGATTCAGCAATAAGACACAGGCAAAGACNAGCAATAAGACACAGGCAAAGACACAAAGGTGATTCAGCAATAAGACACAGGCAAAGACACAAAGGTGATTCAGCAATAAGACACAGGCAAAGACGCCAGTCCCGTTTGTTGCATTACAGGAAAATGTGGAGGTTTATGGGGAGAAAAATGCTATTAAACCGTAATCGATCTACAAGTACTGATCATATTTCAATGATCCAATCTGTACCCCCCCCAAAAGCAAATCTTACAGGGCACACTGAAGCGCCATAGTTAGAAAACCATTAGCACCAAAAGCTTTTCCTGAAATGTAAGCAATTAAATGTTAGAGGCTGTAGAAACTGTCCTTTTATGTGGGCAGCTACAAAGGCCGCGTCATTTGAAAGAACTTCAGAACAACTTGCAAAATGACAGAGGTTCTCTTCTGAATACCGTACATCTGGTCGGACTTTTCAATTTCTGGACATTTTCAGAAACTGCAAAGAAAAATGTGACTGCTATAATTACTTGGCACATGTCACAATTAAAGACATTTAGTGACAGAAGACAAGCAGCATGTATAATACAATGAGGATCTAAATGTAAAAGATGTATGAAAAAAATAACCGATGAGGGAGAGTTCACATTCATCGTTGTGATGTGATTTTATCTGTCAAATTGCTTTAATAAAAGAATAAGAGATAATGTGCTGGAATTGGCCTATGGCTGATTTCTAAAGAGATTAAAGGTAATAACAGATGTCAAGGAATAGCAAAGGAATAGCAAAGAAATACCAAAGCAATACCTCACACCCAAATTACTGCAATTTAACATATTCAATTGCCAACCCAGATTAAAAACAAAGCTAATCAAACATGACAAAGAAAAACGTCTCTGTATGCACGACAGAGGGTTTCCTCTAAAACAGTGTTCCCAGCACTGTTGGGGAAAAAAAGAAATATTCCAAAAATAAGTTATCGATCCATTTTCCATACCCGCTTATCCTATTCAGGGTCGGGGGGGGGGTCCGGAGCCTATCCTGGAAGCTATGGACACAAGGCAGGGAACAGCCCAGGATGGGGCGCCAACCAATCGCAGGGCACAATCATACCTACAGACATCTTGGCACCTCCAAGTAACCTCAGCATGTTTTTGGACTGAGGAGAAAAACCAGGGAACCCAGAGGAAACCCCACGATGACACGGGGAGAACGTGCAAACTCCACACACATGGAGTCATGGTGGAGACTCCAACACGAATCCCGAGGTGGGAGGCAACGGTGCAAAAAAAACTATATTTTCAATTTTTCTACAACCCTTCACATTCACACTCCCTGTTTACTACAGTTAAACATCTAAAATCACCAACTGATCCTCCAATACCCCACAGTCTGTGAAATTCGTGTACGATGTAAACCGGCAGAACTGCGACTCTAAGAGACATTTTGACCTATAAGTTCCTGTCGGCAGGGGGCCCATACAATCCTACCAGTACCCTTTAAAAATATTAAATCTAATTACAACAGGTCAAGAGATTGAATGGCAGCCGAGTTAAGTGCCGGAGACAGAGCGGCCTGAGGTGGGGTTAGCCCTGAGGAGCAGGCGCTGGCTGCTACTCCACAGATGTTCACCCATGGTAGATCCAGCTCCAAATCAAAGATTACCCTGACATATTATTGCAAATGATACATTTTATAAATCCACCATCTTTTTTTTTTACCAAAAAATGCTAAGCTTTCCTGTGCAGTTAGCTGTAGAGGCCCGTTTGTGGAACATGCATCATCACCACACAGGCATAACCAGCAGCTGAAGACATCTATAATTCCATGTGAAAAGTTCCCAAACACGTAGCAGTGACCACAATAAACAGTCAGTCACTGCTTAATCCTCAGTCAGATCTCACACGGTGTCAAAGGTTTAATATTATTCAGGTTTTCTGCTTGTGATTGTGGATAAATGCTTCTGTGAGTTTTACTTACACATAAATGTTCAAAAATACTTTATAAAAAAATGTTCATAAATGTGCAGAAGGAAAAATGATTGGTTCAGAGAGATAACCAATAAGATTATAGAGGAGGTGGGTCAAAGTAACTAGAGGAGGCAAGACCAAGACATCTGATTGGTTGGTCCCACCTCATGTAGTAGCGTGGACCCACCTCCTCTGCAAACTGATTGGTTATCTCTCTGAACCAATCATTTTCCCTTCTGCCTTCAGAACATTTTTGTGTAAATAAAAGCCCCATGAGCCGGGTAAATGCCTGTGTATGCACTGGTAGGTGTGTTTGGCTGGAGTCCTTGTTGAGATTGTGCAAGTGTTTACAGGGCTGATGGTGAACTCCATTATCACACCTCAAATCGATTTAGGTGCTAGGGAGGTGGAACTGTGCTAATCTAAGTTAGGTGTGTAATTTACTGGCTCAGACTTGGGGTGGTGTTTGAAAACTTTGCTCTCATCGTGAATGTGGTTGGAGAGAGTTGAGACAGGAACGGCAGTTCTATCTGTCAGTGTTATGGTGAGGGAGGAAAACATTTCACATTCAAAACGAACATCACGTATCACTCTCCTAAACATTTGGCTCTTTTAGATACTCAGTTAGCTTTCAGAATCTGCCATTGTAGAGACGACCCCAATTACAGCTAAAGGAATCTTCTGGGGTGACGGACTTCTGTGTACCAGATCCCACAAGCTTTCCCTCTTCACAGCCCGTATTGTGGCATCTGGTGTGGTTGAATACCACATAAAACCCCTGGCAAACAAAACCAGCCTTCTCTGACCTAATTATGTCACGGCACATGAAGGCACACTGTTCAACTGCTGACAATTTCAGCACAAATGCACGAGCAGAAACGGTGCAGTCTGTAAACGGGCGTGAGAAGGTTGGGAACACATTCACCTGGAGGTCACTGTACCTCTGTCCCATTCAAAGCCAAAGCTTCTGACGTTGGTGCTCATCTCAGTATGACCTTCCAGACTAGATAACGAAGGATTTTACATT